GGAAAAACGCAATTCTGAGCCGTCCATCTGCCTACAGGGGACCCAAATTTCCTCAGGAATCGAATGCGATAGGTTTCAAGGCTCTATCTCTTATAGTTTCCGAGATAATCGCGAAAAACGAGCTCGCCAAAAAAAATTAATTTAATTCGCCTTATATAGGGTATAGGAGGTGGAAAAACGCAATTCTGAGCCGTCCATCTGCCTTTAGGGAACCCAAATTTCCTCAGGAATCGAATGCAATAGGTTTCAAGGCTCTATCTCTTATAGTTTCCGAGATAATCGCGAAAAACGAAATCGCCAAAAAAAATTAATTTAATTTATCTTGTATAGGGTGTAGGAAGTGGAAAAACGCAATTCTGAGCCGTCCATCTGCCTATAGGGAACCCAAATTTCCTCAGGAATCGAATGGAATAGGTTTTAAGGCTCTATCTCTCATAGTTTCCGAGATAATCGCGAAAAACGAAATTGCCAAAAAAAATTAATTTAATTCATCTTGTATAGGGTGTAGGAAGTGGAAAAACGCAATTCTGAGCCGTCCATCTGCCTATACGGAACCCAAATTTCCTCAGGAATCGAATGGAATAGGTTTTAAGGCTCTATCTCTCATAGTTTCCGAGATAATCGCGAAAAACGAAAGTGCCAAAAAAAATTAATTTAATTCATCTTGTATAGGGTGTAGGAAGTGGAAAAACGCAATTCTGAGCCGTCCATCTGCCTAAAGGGAACCCAAATTTCCTCAGGAATCGAATGGAATAGGTTTCAAGGTTCTATCTCTCATAGTTTCCGAGATAATCGCGAAAAACGATGCTAAAGTATTTTAATGATGAACACTCCAGGAGATCCTCTGTTTTTGTTTTTGAACTGATAGTAGATAACCTCATAACCAGAGGTATTTCATTATTGTGAATAAAATATCCACTCTCAAACAATAAAAGTCATAGTTTTGTATTCTACAAGCGATTTGCAATCGATTGAAAAAAAAGAAGTGGAAAATTTTTTTATTTCCAAATTTGTCGGCTAGATTCATGCATGATCTTGATTAAATAATTAAAAAAGATCCATTGTCTCTTAAACGTTAAAACGGTATGTACAACGACCTGCTAACCAATTACAAACGATTCTATAGGGTCATTTGTTTGAAAATAGTTTTTTGTCGGCTAATAAGATACTGCTCTCAGCGGCATGTTCTCCGCGTCCTAACGCCGAAAAACAGCGTCGCCAAAACGTGTGGTTTCTTTCGTAGAGAATACGGCGTATGCGGCGTAGAACGTATTTCTTCGTACAAGTAGTCACGACATCAGAGAAATGATCCAATATTTTCTCCTAAAAAAGTAAATAATCCTCACAATTCAGCATAACTAGATCTTCCACTCGCAACTCGATCAAACCCAGAATAATCACGAGTGAAAATACAACATAATTTCCATTTATTTATTTCTCTATTTTGCAAGAAAAAACTAGAGTCATAAAATAATTTGACTACTTCATACGTTTTTGATGGCATGAATATTATTTAACAATTTTTCTCGCTGTTTAAAATTGCTAAATCAGTAGTAAAAAATACGGAACAACGAGAAACAAATAGAGAATTTATGTTTTGGTGGGTGGAATAGTTTTAAACATTGTTTACAGGATTTTTGTTCCTGGAAGAACTAAATCATTATGATTCTATCGAGAATCGCCGCTAACGCCGAAAATAGGAGATTTCAAGAGAAGATCACAGGAGAACAGGAGTTCGGAGGATCGAGCCAAGTATTCGACAGACACCTCTTTGCGTTCCCTGTTCTCCTGATCGAATTCTTCAAAATACCGTCTGAATAAGCGTGTCTCTACACGAGACATTCGGTACGTGTACGGCGTACTCTGCTGCCCGGTGGATGTTTTTTTTAAGGTTCTTCTTTTCGACGTGATTTATTGGTATTCAGTGTTTCAGTTAATTACATTGTATTGAATAATCTCTGAGATGTTTGAGGCCTCAGAAAAAATTTGAGTTTTGTTGAATTAGTGAGATCTAGTGACGAAAAAGAAGAGAAGAGAAATAAGTTGGAGGAAGAGGTTAGGTTCATTAATATTTTTCCATGATTTTTAATTAATTGTTTCACTTTTTGGGAGGTTTTGGAGGAGAATGTTAATTCAAGCTTTTTTTTCTCAGAGAGGGGAATGTTCGCGAGATTTTCGATGTACTGGAGAGACTGCGAAATAAATTATGAATTGTGGAAAATGGAGATAAAGGCTGAGTAAGTGTTTTTCTGGAGCATTTCAAGTGATTTTGAATCATAAAGTTGATTATTGGTTTTAAGGATGTACTACACCCTTTCGGCCAAAATTCACGTTTTTTTTTTTTCATTTTTCTGACAAATTAGGGGAGGGTAGGGTAAAATGGACACTTTAGACTTTTTTAAAATTATTCATAACTCAGAAACAAATGTAACAGTCGAGTTCAGTTTAGGCTCATCACAAAGAGAAAGAATTGTTCTTTGTATTGAAAAAAAAATATATTAAATTTCATCAACATTTCAACCCGTCACTAATATTTTAAAAAAAGTCAAAAGTGTCCATTTTACTAATCAAGTTATTTAAAATTTTTTCGGAAATCCATACGAATTAACTTTTGGATTGAATTGTCTTGGGACATACCTTAACGGAATTTGGTATTTGCAGGTGGCCCAGAGGATAATTTCAGAGGAATAGGAGTTTTTAAGAGTAGAAAACTAGTAAAATTGAAAGATGGAGTTGGACCAGGCCTGTCCTCGTTGTAAAACAACGAAATATAGGAATCCCTCGTTGAAGTTGATGGTGAATGTCTGTGGACACAGCCTCTGTGAGAGCTGTGTGGATCTTCTCTTTTTGAAAGGTAAGAATAAGGCTGGAGTATGATCGAACACCTCAAATTTTCTGGAGGGCCTGGACTGTTTTTGGCATTTTAAGCGTTTACGGGCAAACGAACAATGAAAAAAAAATTTTTTGGGCTAATTATCCGTTTTCAAATCTATATAATCGATCTTCAACGTATGAAAAGGCTCACTCCATTAACCCACGACTTTTAAAAGTCACACTAGTCTCCCCTTAACAGATAGGATTTTTTATACAAAAATTGAATTTCATAATGTTTATTGTAAATTCAGCTTGCTTTAGATTTTTCTATAACTATTGCTCAAATGAATGAAACTATTCATATACTATTTCAAAGGCCATTTTTTGTTATAGAACGTGAAAATCAGGAGAATTAGAATTTAGAATTAGAATTTTTGATTCACCAAAAGATGTCATGCAACAATCCAATTTAATTCACCCATCCAGGCACAACATTACTTACTATTTCCATATCAATTTTATAGCTAATAATTACAATTACAACTAAAAACTTCGTCCCAATTTTCATCCTTCCAAATTATTCAATTCTAGGTTCAGGATCATGTCCAGAATGCCTGATCCCCCTTCGCCGTGGCAACTTCCGGGTGCAGATGTTCGAGGACTCAATGGTAGAAAAGGAAGTAGACATTCGCAAAAGAATCCTCCGAGACTTCAACAAAAAGGAAGACGACTTCGCCACCCCGCGCGACTACAACGACTACCTCGAAGAAATCGAAACCCTGATCTACAACCTCTCCAACAACATCGACACGATAGAGACCAACAAGCGAATAGATCAATACAAACGTGACAACCGCGAGCAGATCCTCAGGAACAAAAACAAAATGGGAAGAACAGAGTCAGAGCTCCAAGAGTTGCTGGAGCTCCAGAAGCAACGAGAGGAGGAGAGGAGATTAGAACTAGCTCGAGAAGAGTTGGAAATAAAAAAGAAAAAGCTGAGAGATAAAGAGGCCTTGATTGACGAGCTCATGTTTTCCGAGGGGAACGCGAAGAGTATTGTTGAGACCTTCCAGTCCTCCATTCAAGCCTCAAAAGAAAAATCAAAAACCCCTCCGGCCCCTAGAGTAACTCAATTCAGCACTGGAATCAAATTCGGTCAGTCTGCAGGCCAGAACTTCCTTCCAGTCCCCAAGGACGATGGGCCCCTCTACAGCTACACCCCCCTTGCGATGGAGATCGATGGTCCAACGGCCCCAACACTCAGAGAAATCACTTCTCATGGGTACATCAACCACGTCAGGGCTGAGACATCTACTGAACGGGCTGGAGGCTTCAAAGCCACCATCGCCTGTCTACGCGCCCTCCAGGAAGCCATGGCTGGGCTCTACCACAATCCTTCACAGAGGAATGAACCTATGTCGTTGTGACAGTTAATTTATTGTATTTAATTGATTAATTATCTCTGTATCATAATTTTTGTACTTTTCAATCTGTTAGAGACGAGGTATATTTTTTGTGGATGAAATTGTTATCGTATGAGAATAAAATCTTTCCATGGTATTGGTACTTAGTTGATGGTTAATGGAATTTGTGGGAGGAGGGAGAGGGGTGGGAGGCAGGTGAGACAAAAAAAATCGTCAGAGGGAAAAATTGGAATTTCCGGTACAGTTTCTGGAGATTTTCATCAAGTGATAGTTCCATTAAAATTATAAGGTAGTTCGTCATTGAACATTTACAGTTTGCTGAAAAAACAGGATGGCAACTATTTTTTGGTTCCATATGTATACCCTCTCGGGTTTTTACATTTTGTTCCCTTCCCTATCTGCGTTACCATGGGCCGACTTACTTTATCCCCAACTGCACCCCATTCGGGATTGGACTGCCAGGGAAACCATGGAAAACCTCAGTCGTGCAGCCGGCCGATAATGCAGGAATTCCACTGCGTCCTTTGGTCACACTGACTCAATGGGCACAGTGGTTCTCTACATTCGTGTCTAGCGACTCTAGTCCCTAGATTTTAACAAACTATTTTTTTTTGGCATAAGTAAGACTTGAACTGTACTATTTTTCTCTCAGTGTAGAGACTTCCATTCATCAACCTCGGTTAATTATTCGTCAATTTAATTGAAAAAATGCTTGAATGACAGGGTTAGTACTCCCGATTTTTCTTTGACTATTAGATGCTTTAATTTTCCATACACTGCATTATTGATAAATCATCAATTTGCAAATAAATCCCATGAGAGCCCGTGTATTAGAAAAATCTGCTTATTTCGTATTGTCATAAAGCAATTGCGACGAATTTTCCTTAATGCTAAGAAATATCTGTTTCGCATGTTCTACTATCAACGAGAAGAACAACAAATTTTTCTCGCAATTGCAACAAAAATCTAATTTCAATACATTAACGAACAGCTGTAGCTACTCTTTCATTACAATTTCTGCATCTTTCATTCTGTTGGAAACGAGATTTTTTTGAGAAGGGACTTTTCATCGTAAGAGGATAAAGTCTTCTCATGAAAATGTAATTTAGTCATTGATTTATGGGATCTCTTATCGGTCGTGATAATCGATTGATTCTAGGTGTTTCAGGGATTAGGGCAGGAGTGGAAGGTCATGGGCGATGGGAAATGAGGGGAAGGGGGAGTGAAAGGGCGGAATTGATAAATACATAAAGTATGACCTGAATGATCCCAGTTTTATGGTTTCGATTTTTTAGAGGTTTTCACGGAATAGATAACATTACGATAGCACATTGGACCATCTTCGTTTTTTGATGTTTTTATTATATTTGATGAGTAAATAGAGCCCTTGGGGCCCAGCGGAGTGGAAAGAGGTTTGGAGTCATGAAATGGCTTCAGTCTCGATCAGATATTTATCTTAAAAGAATATGCCGACTTTCAATGGCATTTCAATTCGGTTTTGATCCCAATCTCGAGATTGAATTTGATTTGATTGAATTCGGAGTGTGAATCAATTATTCGGTTTCTTAACCCTCGATCACTCGCACAATGGGCGCGACGCCATCTGTTTTCGTTTTTTAAATATTTTGGCATGTTTCTCGACGCTTAAAAATTCTGAAAAAATTAGAGTTCCTAACTCAATCCTTTTATTAACCATTGAGTGGTCGCGCTGTGGGGAAATCGCAGCAGTTTTTCGATTATTCTTCGTCCATGAAAACTCCGTAACTGAAAAATGTATGAAAATTTGTATTCCTACTCTCAACTAAACCGAACGCATTGACAATTTTTTTGGTCTATATTCGTATCAATCAATTATCAAGATCTCTGCAAAAAATTTCCGTGAAATTGAATTATAGAATTATCCGTCCACTATTCTTATTTGATATCCCCATTTCATTTCCCTTGAATGTAAAAATAAACAATTATTAAGAATTAACAATTCAAATAAACAATTTTGTCCAACTTTTTTTTCTTACACCAATTGTAAAATACACAATTGTTGCGAATCATCTACCATGCGACTAACAGCGTTCGGTGAAGAGCTGCGACTACTCAAGGGTTAAGCGTTGGCGTCGTCGGTTTTTCTCTCAAAAAATTTGTTGAAGCTAAAAAAAAATGAAACGTCGAACAAACAGAAAAGCGGCGCGGCTCGTTGCGAGTTAGTCCGTGTCGACCGGTCGAGCGACAGTGTTGCTACATTCACTGCCACACATTAATTCATCAATTATTTTCTTTCCCCATATTATTAGAGAAATCGAATAGATTCCCACAGAAAAAAATGTAAAAATTAACAGCGAAAATGAGGGAAATGTCAAGTGAATGATCATTTTAACAAATTAAATGAATGCAAATGATTGATGATTCAAAGCTAATGCAAAAGTTAATTATATAACTGCAAATGTGATTAAAACTGATTATGTAATGATGAATATTCATACGTCCTGGCGTTTACCTCCTTATAAATGCATTGGTGCATGCATCCATCAGACACTACAAACTGCAAAGCCATTTCACAATCGACATCTGAAGTACTTCATACCGAAAACCCACGTTGTTGCTGCAAATGTGCCGGTATCCTCGCAGCCGTTTCTTTTCATTGAAAAGTATTAGAAGGCCAAATGGAGTGGGAAAAATCTGGGCATGCCTGATTAGACACGGTGAATGAGTCCGCCGCGGAGGGGCGCATAAACAACAATGGCACCCACCCGAATACACTGTATACACAACTTTTCTTTGTCAAACATCTTCGTCTTCATTTTCTTTAATTTTTTACCTCTCATACAAACTCGAATATATGAGGACTCCGTTTTTCGTTGCATCCATTTGAATTGGGGTTGAAGGTGGGCCATTTATTTTTTTCCTACCTTTTTCCTTGGGTAGATACACAAGGCACTTGGTGGCCCTAGATGTTTTATTCGAGAAGTGGCCGATCGAGTTTCTTTGGGAGAAAGAAAAATAGAGTTATGAATAAGTGACGGGGAATTTCATTTTAAAAAGTGATAACTCCTGGTTTCAGGTATTTTTGGATTCAAGATTTAAAACCGGCTTTTTCGTTTCCTTGAGAATGGAAGCATTGTTTTTGGTCGATTTTTCGATTTTCTGATTTTGATTGCAAATGGTTTAGAATGTTATGAAACGTGAAGGAATGATGTTTTTAGGATCATTTTTGTATGTATGTAGCCGACAACTTGGGTTTTTGGTCATTAATTTTTAGAAAATTCAACATAAATACGGTGAGAAGTCAGTAGATAAAAATCTGAAATTTTGGCTTATTGTAGCTATGATTGAGCTCAACTTTGGCGCGCTGTTTCAGTCCGAATGGTCCAGTAGTTGGTGAGATATAACAACTTTTTCAAATTTTGTATGTCAATTGACATCTGAACAACAATTAGAAGAGAAAAGGTATTATATTCATTGTGATGATAATTCAATTTTTTCAATTCAGTAGCGAAGTGGTAAAACGGTACAAGTCAATTTTGACTATTGACCAGTTTTCAATGAATATTTCGTAATCTAAGGGAGATAGCAAAATTTTGGTTATAACCTTTTTTGTAAAGCCGATTGAGAGTTACAACAACTGATATAACGAAAATTTCGCTATCTCCCTTAGGTTCGGAAATATTCCTCAAAAACTCAACTGGGAGATAAGTCGACTTAAACCGGTTTACCACTTCGCTACTGAATTAATTCATTAACTATGCAATTATCGTATGTAATACCACAAGAGTTTTAAAATTATCAGGGATCTCCCGACAGGTTCGTTTGTGTGCAGGGAACCTTGAGGGAAATATCTGATTAATTTAGAAGCTCGAGTGGTATTCGAAAGAAAATTTTTCCATCCAAATTTCAGTCATTGCACTATGAGACAAAATCCATCTGTCAGTTTCAATGAGGGGCTCACTCGACCAGAAAATGTTTTGTATTTCATATATATGTCAACATGAAAAATTAGCAGTCGAACTATCAAAAATTATCAGTTGAATACCGTGTTGAATACTGTATAAAATAACAGTCGAATAGTACAATACTATTGGCTGAAATGTGGATGGGCAGAATTATCTATAGAAAATTTCTTGACACATCTAAGTTTTTGCTTCCGAATGGAAACCTTTTTCTTGACCGATTTTTCGATTTTTTAATTTTGATTCCAAATGGTCCAGAGTGTTGTGAAACGTGAAGAAATGATGTTTTTAGGGTCATGTTTGTATGTATGTATCCGCCAACTTGCACACCAAAAACGAATGTCTGAATTTCATACATCTTTTGTAGACATTTTTCAGACACTAAAAAAATTCTGAAGAAAATGAAAATTTGTCTGAATTTCAAACATGAAGCGCGCGCATAGATTTTGTTTCCTCAAAAGGAAGAAAAAATCGTTTTGGAGTACCTCAACCCCCTTCCACGAGCGTAACCGACAGGTGACCCCTCGTCCTCCGCCAAACTCGTTGGTACCTCGATCCGATGACTGGAGTTGTCGTTGAACAGTCATCGTCATCATCCTCTCGCAGTCACCAGCAACAACCACGAGACCAGCCTCCCTCGCTCGTCCAATCGCCGCCCCCTGATTGGTGCTATTTGGCTCCGCCTTTTCCACCAAAGTAGAGAAGGCCTCGATGCCCTTTTCCTCGTGTCAAACCGCCACAGTACGTACGCGAACGTCGCAGTGGAATGGTCATTCCATCTGCACAATCTCCTTCACCTCGAATTCATTAAAAAAAACTCCACCAAAAGTCAGACGTGACAAAACAACGCGAAAATCAAAACAATAATTGCTCCAAAAATCTGTTGAAAAATAAAACCACCTCCAGTCTCAACAAAACAAGTTAATCAAAAAATTGTTCAAGTTCCAAGTGTTTAAAAATCAATCCATAAAAAATGTAAACAGTGACAACAACAAAGTGTTTTAAATCCCTCCAGGAGTACATAATTAAAATACCTAAACAAATAAAAATAAAAAAGCCCCACTGGATGTCGTGTGTGTAAAAGATGCATAGTTGAACCCCTCGTACGTCATCGGTAATTCTGCATACGGGGGTGACGAATTTCTCCCACAAGGTGTTTCTCTCCCACCGGCGTCAAGTGTTACCAGTTTAATAAACCTTACGACAAAACAACAAAAGCTAAACAAATAATCATGCAGTCAGTGACACCGAAACTCCTCGCTCTAATGATCCTCGTGATTGCGAGATACTACGGCGCAGAAGCTAATTGGTGGTAAGTGATCAACGTACTTCTACTCCGTTCCCATAATTCCAAACACTTCATTAATTAATGACTCCTAACGACTGATCCAGAGTAGATGAGGCGAAACTCGATAAAATCTCGAATATTTCCCGATCAAATGATGCGATTTGGATGATTTTGATTTCATTTTGAAGATTTCAAAAACACCTGAAAATGGCACCGAATTCGTTGCATTTCACTCAGCCCATTTTGCCCCATGTTTCTAAGAAATCAGTTGAATTGAGGAATTCAGGAAAAAGGAGCAGTTGTTCTGAAACTGAATAATTCTTTCTCTATTTTGATTTCTTATCTTGATGTGTTTCATGGTGATGCACTGAGAAAAATGAAGTTTTTGAGAAGTACGTTTTTAATTATATCACGAAACTCGTGGCTTCAAAATTTTCAATAGCAAAATATCTCGCACTAAGAAGAAAAAACTTTTGTCAAGAAATTTTGTGCTTGTCTTAATGACGAGGACGATTTCTTGATGACAAGAAAGCGATTTCTCACACCAAGTTGAATTGAATGAATCCATTTAATAGATTTTAGCCTCGATTCTAAAATATTTTAATGCAAAAACCACTTCAATTGATTTGAGAACTCGTTTTCTTTATGTGAACCAATTGTCCTCATTCAATCGTAAAATTTCTTGGTACAAGATTTTTTTTTCTGAGTATGGATATTATGCGCTTGGTAATTTTCGAGCCATGAATTTCTTGATACAAGTGAAAACGTATTTCTCAAAAAACAGTTGTCTGCTCGGTGTATCTCTACACTGTTAAGAATTTCTGACTGAATTTTCCGTGCCAAATTCCGGAAATTTTGATCGTGTTTCAATTCCACTGAGATTTCAGGAAATCGTGTCATTAAAAGTTCAGAATTCCGTGGAAAAATGAAACAACGGTAAATTTCCGTTCCATTTTTCCCTGAAAATGAATAGACAACCAGAAGATTCTGGTAAATAGATTCTTGAATTTTCAGAACAACGACACGGAATGTGATTTAGGGGGAAAAAAATCATGAACTTTCAGATTTCAAAAAATCTGAAAAATCAGTGCAATTTGACACTAAATATTCATATTAGATTGGAAATTCGAATAAATTAACGAACTCTCGTCTTTATGCCCCTTAAAATTCTGGAATCTTATTGAATTTTCACTGAAACCAGGATTTTTTTTCCCCTAAATCGCATTCAGTGTCACTGTCCTGAAAACTGGTAGTCAACTGTCCACGATTTTTTTTTTTCTAACAGTGTACACGGAAGCTAGAAACATCCGAAACAAAAGAAGTGCGGGGGTGGGGGGGAATATGCAAGAAATGCAGGAGAGCGGCACGCTCTCTCGAGCGGTCAAGCGATCGTTTGTGAAGATTTTATTACTGACAAACTGGTTCCCTTGGCCGATTAATCGACCCCCCGACTGTATAAGTGCACTTACACACTGACGAATTCGCATATGGTTGTAATGGGGGGTGAGGGGGGGAGGGGGGGTNATTCGCATATGGTTGTAATGGGGGGGGGGGGGGGGGGGGGGGGTTAGTTGGGTGAGGAGAAATAGGATAGTGAGATGGCGAGTCTATCTTTCTTTAGGCTTCCAGTGTTTATGTGGTACGAAAGGAGTTTTGCACCGGGGAGAGAGGCAAAGTGAGGATTCTTGATTTATGATGATTATTTTTGTTTCTCTTTCTGGTTTTGTTAGGGGGGAGGGGGGATTAAGATGAGGGTTGAGGCTAATTGCGGATGAATGCAGTGGGTTTACAGCAGGTGATCCATTTTCCAAATTGGTGGGTTTTGAGACGTCAGTGGTGGTGTAACGAGTCATCTTTCTTTCTTTATGGTGATTATGATGATTTCTGAGAGGTTTTTTTGGGGTTTTTTCATTGGGCGCGGG